TCTGGATGTGGCGAATGGCCCGATGCGTGCGTGCGAGGAACGGTCTGTGGACCGACCGAAGCCACACGTTCGGTCCCGAGGCCAGAGAATCAGTGTTTGTTGGACCCGCCCATCAGGTTGTCCCACCCAGTCGCCATCCATCGTTTTGTTGGAGCGATCGGCTTCATTTTGAGGTTCATCGTCTCCATTGGCTTCCGAGACACATGTATCCTGCCGCACCTACACGTGGCGCCCCCAACGAGGGGCCGGTGTCATTCTTCAGAATCAATTTCAGGATTTCTCGCCAGGTAATAGTAGGAGCAAGAACGCTACTACAAAGGGCATCGCTACTAGAAGCAAGGATGCTACTAGGGGCTCCTGGCCTTACTACTAGGAGCAAGAACGCTACTAATAGTAGGTGATGATAGCAGTGATGCATCTTGAGGACCTCCATGGCGATGGCGATGCTTCCAGTTTTTCCTTCAGTCAGGCCACGTGCCTTCGGTTCGCTGCGGGCCGATGAGCCTAGGCCACGGGCCTTCTTCAGCACTTTCGAGCTGAGAATGTCCCGAGCTTGGACAAATTATTCACAATATTGTACCATATTTCCATATACATCAAGATGTACATTTAAAAGACATAAAACACACATTTTGTTAACAATATACATCAACCAGGAGTCAGATAGGGTGGTGTTTAGTCCCATCCATGTGAATGGATCATGGGCACTCCGTTCAGCATCCCTTTGGAGCTGCTGGTGGTTACTGTATGCCTTTTTCGATTCGTAGTGTTTCGAATGTCCCGTAGGAACGGCGGAACCGGCCTTCGAGAGCTTGGCCGAGTTCGGGTCGACTGCCTTCTGCTAAGGTAGAAATACCACGCGTTTGGCAATCGCCGCATCACTCGCAGTAAAGCAGTGATGTGCCAGGTACGTGCCAGTCAAACATGCCGATAATTCGTCCTCCAAATTCGGAAAGGACCGTTTGTCTTCACCTTGAATTGATCCAATGCCCCGTGTTTTCTCGCGACGGCCACCGGTCATCCGGATGAGGCCATCGGTCATCGCGTCGGCTCCGTGGTGCCTTTCAGAGGTCTATGGACAAGATTCTCGAGCTCTTCAGGACCGCGGATTCGTGAAAGGAAGGCCTGAGTTTCAGCCACGAGGGAAGGGCCGGCAATATTGGGGGTATTTGGCGGCTGCAATCCTGTGAGGGGTAGCGAGGCAGAGATCATGTTCCTGCTAGAAGTTCAGGGCGAGCTGTTTGTTTCGGGGGCGAGAGCATGCAATGAGGGTTACTACCAACATGTAGTTGGACACATGTTCGATCTCTTTGTTGACCCTTTTGTTTCTGTTGGAGTATAATAACGAGCTGTAGCTTGTGAAAGACTCACTGGGAGGCGTGTGGGCTCAAGATGAGACCATCTCAGAAATCAGTGCAGAACAACCCAGTGATATCCCATGGGTGCCGGTGCCAGCATGAAGGTCGGTGAGCTGGAGACGGCAAAGGACGCTCAAAAGCCCAACTACCTGAAGTTGCCAGCTCAGAGGTGCCATCGAGTAGTTTCTCTCGAAGATGGAGTTTTGCACGACTTGATGGCTCACTCGCTGAGCAGCTCCTCACCAGACGCGGCGCAGGTTCTCGAGTGTCCTCCCGTTCCAGCACCGGATGCTGAGAAAACACAGGTCCTCAAGCGGAGTTATCGAGTGACTTCGCTGGATGTGAAGATCCTTGGATTGAAGCTGGAGATTGACATTAGTGAGAGAAAGCCCCATTTTCCCGGAGGTGTCATCCTTCGCATCCTTTGGATCGCCGTCACGTGGTCAGAACTGAGCGGTCAATCTTGATATGTCTTTTTCAGCCCCTGCAGAGGGGATTTAAGTCAAAGGCCAACATGCCGTGACATGCAGTAGTGCACTGGTTTCACGTTGAGAGATTTGTTTAGAAGTTTTGTTTCGGTATATCAGAAGTGTACATAAGTGTAGTATAGAGACCATTTGTCTCACTTTTTCTCTCAGTGGAGGTTTAGGGATTGTCAACAATGTGAACAGCACATGACTCACCAGATGTTCTTTGTTGACCAAATCGTGATCTTAAAATAACATCTGACGCGAGGTTCTGAAACACCCCCACACTGACTGTCACTTTGGCACTCTAAATCCTCTGCTGAACTTGTGGAGACTCAGAGAACTCTAGAGAATGAGAACTCCATTTTTGGTGCATTTTTATTCAGCCTGAAGAGACACCAGGCCAGAAGCGGCAGTGCCTTCATGCGTCTTCCCCCGCAACGAAAGGAAGGTGTGGTATAAGGCAGGACCTCTCCCCCGATCATTTGCCCGCCAGGTGGCAAACACAATAGGGATCGGGTCATTCATGCGCCAATTCCTTGCCCAGCATCACCAGCTGAGTCTAGGGGGGTGGACGTGGCCATTCGTTCTTCACTCGGTAGTTCGATCGTGTCGCAAGACACAGAGCAGATGGCGCAGGCTTCAAGAGTTGAATTTTGGATCCCAAACCTGACGAGTTGAGGATTTTCGGAGTTAGGCTCCCCCTGACGTGGAAAGGTGTTCGTTCAAACCAGCCTGACGTTTTCTTAGATGCCATCGCGCCGACTCAGAACACACCCTAACTCGCCGAACCTCGTAGCATTCAGCTCTTCAAGAAGTGGTCAGTTTCGGCCGAAGGGATCGTCACTGGTTTCTGAGAGACCAGGAGGAGACCCGATCCGAGGGCGCTCAGACGCTGCCATGGCTTCACTTCGATTCCTATAGTGTTGCTATCGCATCCCGATTTCGGGGTTCTAACTATGTGTGTCCTCCGTGTCTCCCTCTCCCTCTCTCTGTGACGCTGGGGTGCGATCCGAAACAGACGAAACGGCGTGACCAACGCAGATCGGTGGTGCGTTCGGCCGATCAAACGGTTGTGCTATCCTGGAAATAGAGGGAGGGCTGCAAGTATTCCAGAGTCATGAGGTTCCAGCAAGCGTTCTTGCTTGTGTGGTGCATTGCCTGTGAGACTTGTTGACTTGGCTTTATCCGATTTTTTTTAAACGAAGCATTGACATGGAACCTTTAAGGGTCGTCATCAGTGAGATGTTCCACTATTGGTGGAGTTTTCACCTCTTCGTTTCGCGGGCTTCGTACTCGTCCATCCTGCAGTGAATGGCGGTGCATGTGGATGGCCCCCACTTTCATCCACCACCCCCCGACCATTCAACACCCAGTCACCCAAGATCTTAGCTACAATAAGCTGCATGTTAAATGATCAGCGCACATAATTAGTCTATATATACTGGTCACTGGTCGAACATTCCATAATCATTTCAGTTAATGTAGACTCTTGATTAATAAACCATCCCATTTGGATTAAACGTCCTCTTCATGTAGGGGTATTATTAATCAAGAGTCTCCATTATATATATATATATATCGATTTATGCACATGGTTATTTGGTCACCAACAGTTGAAGCTCATGACTCAAAGAGTGACATTCCTCGGTCAGGCTGATCGCCGGGGCACTCAGTTCTTCTTCCGTTTGCGGAACGAAAGAATCAGATGGGAAACGACTGTGGTCTTACCTTGTGGGGGTGGATCAGCTAGGGATGTCTTTTTGGGGGGATGGGTGTCCGCACTCAGAAGGAATAGAAGGGCGAAACACAGCGGTTCGTTGCTGTCTTATCGAAACGGCTGTCAGTCAGTCAGTCAGTCAGTCAGCAAGCACTTCAACAGGTCAACTTCATAACGTGCGGGGTCTCCTCGAAGAGGAGACGGTGAGCATTTTCGGAGCTGCTATCAGATCTATCTATCAGATTGTGACACTTGGTGTATCCCACTGGAGATAGTAGTTGATCTTGATGAGACCCCCACCAATCCCGGACTGTGGAGCAGATCGCGCAACCTTCTAATTCCCAACACTCCAAGAACAGCTCAATACTGTGGACAGTTCCCAAACCTAGAGGCTTCACCCATGGGCCGAAGCGTTATCTCACTCCAATCTGGAGATCGATTTTGACAATGCGACGACCTCTTTCTGACCAGCGATGGTCGAACACAAAATAGCTTTCGAGGCCGACCTCATGGCAGCCGGGGCTCCTGGCGTCCTCTGGCGTGCGGCGTGAACTCACTGCATCCTCTCGAACCCTCTCGGGAAACACCGCGACGTTGGCGGATTTTGATTCGGGGCCCATGTTTCTGATTTCTTTTCGGTGGCGGATGATTGCCCGTCGACCCTCGCGGGCGACCAGTGTGAATTCGTTGGATGCTGCGGGTGAAGGTTGTGTAATATATATATATAATATACACATATATATATATATACATAAAATATAATTAGCAATATATACCTGGAAAACCTGGTGTGTCAAAAACATAGGCAAGGTGGCACTGTGTACTATTTCCGATCTTTTCCAAATAAAGGCATCCAACGCAGACATCTTTTAACCACATGAAACCACGGCCAGTGGCATTCATCAAACCAGTCATGTGCAAAAATGTGCCCCCTTTTTATCTTCTGATCATAACACCCACCAATCTAATCAGCGCGGGCGCGGACCCATCCCAGCCCTTCGCCCGTTTCTTTGCTGATCCAGCTGATCTTCGAAGTGCATTTCGACTGAGCAGGCTCGCAGAATCTGGTGGGCTAGGAGAAGGTAAGCAGGCTCGAGGTTGGAATTCGTTTGTGAACCCTCGGTGGAAACAGGTTAACTACAGAGAGACATCCATGCCAGCAACACACTTGCAATGGCTGGAAACAGGTTAGTGACCAATGGTCGGTTATAACGAGTGGATGTAGGCATCATGCTCAGAGACCCTTTCCAGTGGGACCAAGAGAGATGAAGAGTATGTTGCCACTGAACCGGATGCCTCAACATGCCAGACAAGGATACATCTTTGGCACTTTGGAAGCCAAAATTAATGGCCATGTTGTCTGGGCAGACGCTGGTGAATCCAGAGCAGGTTCTACCAGCAGCAAAAACGACAGACAATCAGGTATTGATATCCAATGTCCAATCAGGCATTTGCGTCCAACGTCCAATCCACAATCAAAATACCTAGCTTAACCGACTACTGTACGGCGTTTTAATGAGTTTTGCATTCAGTCCGATCAAAGCATTGCCTTTCGCACTGGAAGAAGAGCGGCAGGCGGTGGTAGATGTGCAAGATGAGTTGCAGCAAGGGGAAGCAGGGGAGCTGCAGGAATCGCAAGCAGAAGACCTTCTACCAGAGGAGGCGCCTCCTCAAGGTTACTTGCTTACCGGCACCTCCTTCTTGTTCACATGGAACATAGGCGTGGAGGACCCACATGCGGTGTGGCTGCACTTCTTACAATGGCGTCTTCAGCAGGCTGCGGGGCGCTTCGAGGCTGTCCGATTGTCAGCCATCATGGAAGAGTCTTTGCGAAGTGAGGACGTGGACCATGTCCACATCCATGAGCAAAGGGAAGTCTGCAAACGGTTGACCCGTGTGAGCTTGGATCCTTTCGCTTGCACCACCATGGCCGGACATGTAGTTCGGCCAAATGCTGTGGCCGACTATCTGGAGGCAGTGGGAAGCAGTGCAGATGGGGGCTCGCGTGGCCGTGGTGCAGCTTACCGTGCAGCTTGTGACAGAGCGAACTTTGATGTGCAAACCAACAAATTCGGCACGCAATTCACGGAGACAGACTGGCCAATGCAAGCCAACTTCCGTGTGCAGGCCAAGTGGCTCTATGACCTGCTCGCGCAAGGCAAGCTTAGCCGCGATCAGTGGCTTCAATATGCAGCTGACACTACCATTGGCTTCAGCGCTCGGAAACGTAATTTTGAGGCTTTGGGCTTTGGAGGTGTACGAGAAAGACAAAGCTGTGGAATTTGATGCTAGTGAACATTGTTAGAAAATTGCTGCTCTGTGCCCAAAGAAGCCATGGCGCGAAGACTTACTCCAACGAGCCCAGGCGAGGTGTTTCCAAAGTCTTTCTCCTCGCAGCTATCTAAAATGTTTCTAGGTTGTTTCTCTGATGTGTGTGGTTGTTGTTCTTTCCAGTTGGACAGAACTGGTTGAAGCAGTTTGAGACCGTGAGCGACTGAGCCGGAAAAGCACGGATTGTATTTTCATCCAAAGTGCACCATTTTCCGTGGCAATTGCTGAAAGTGGCAAGCTTTCTGAAAGTCGCTTTTTATCAATCAATATGAATGGTTGGTTGGGTAGGGACATATTGAGATGTGAAACATATAGTGGGGATCCTCAATCTTGTATGCCATTTTGGCTCAAGATTGGGGCTCCCTAATTTCCTTTTCCCGCCCACTACCACCCTTGACACCCTCTGCGGGTACTATAGGGTAGGGATTGGGATTTCCTGTATCTTCCCCTTGAGGGTGATCAGGTATGTTCATCAAAGATGACATAAAAAGCTAGTCTGTGTGTTACCAACCACGACTGATTTCCCAGTGTTATTTTAACACTGCTGACACTACTGTTCATATAAGGCGCGTGTAACGTCTGCTGAACCACCGCCCTTTTTCAAGGCAGATTTGAGAGTTCATTCTCCACGGAAAAAGATGCCTGCTTTACCGTGTGGAATCGTCCTGTATGTTTCTATCAATATTAGGTAACTTCTGCGTTCCTGGTATATATTTATGTGTATATATGTATATAGATACATAGTTGTTATATGGCTTCGCACCTCATGCCGAGAAGTGCGCTGAGCGGCTAAGTCCCTTCCACTTGGTCAGAAGATCTGGGACCTTCAGGTGAAAAGGGAAACAGCCCTTGAAGTATAATCGTTTTCCGCCGTGGCGTTGGAGGCCGAAGGCGGCCCCAATGATCCCACTTTTCTGCCAAAACATGAAGAAAATACCACTTATGGATTGCTTCCCTTGACCGCTTCTAGTGCAGAACCTCTTTTACATTAAGCTCGCTCTTGACACTTTCAAGACAAGTGCAAACATCCACAAGTCGTTCCTTCACGACAAGTTGGCCCTACCATGACCACCATCATCCACAATAAAGATGAGGAACACTCCACAGACCCTCCCAGTGTTTGGTGTACCCGTCCCTGCCTTCCCCCCTCT